GCCAGGCAGATAACGTCTGCTGTGGACCTGTTGTGATGATACATGAATTATAGCAGATCAAGGCAGTCTGGGAGGTTGGAGTTGATGTATGCCATTACTGACCTCTTGAAGCATTTCATAATGATGGATGTCAGAGACACTGGGAGGTAGATGACACCACCAAAACACAATTTCTCTGACTGACTGCCACTCAAGATGAAAGCAAACCACTCTAGGTTCCTTCAGTGGCAGCATCTCACTTGAATTTATAAGAATAGTAAGAAGAAAGGATTTCTAATTTAGGCACATAATACACCTTCTAAAATCCCAAACAAAAGCTGAAAATGCTGGAGAAACTCAGCATGTCTGGTAGCACCAATCGGGAGAGAAACAGTTATATTTCAAGTCCAATATGACACTTCTTCAGAATATGGAAACACGATCATGATTAAGACAGACAAAAGACAAATGGTCTAAGATATACTCTATGGGTGGGAAAGAATCTCACAGAGTAAACAAATTCCACAGGTCAAAACTCTAACCATGAGGTGGAAAGTTCTTTTTCTCTTTCAGTCCTTTTGATTTTTGCAGTGGTGAGATGCAATTGTTGGTACAGTGACAGTATACCTTGATTCATTGGTTGATCAACTGAACTTAGATCTTTTCTTGCACAAAGTCTTCCTTTAAATCTTTGACGTTTTCTGTCTTTTTTCACTCATGGAGAGAGGGATGATGTCTGCAGATTCTTGATGTTTCACTCTCTGCTGCTCTTGACACTTAAACAGCTCTTTTAACATTGCAGCACAACCAAAGAGCTGTTGATAGGCAGAATTATTTAAAATTGAAAGATTCTTGCTGCTTTTCAGTCTCAACTTTTCTTTTCTCAGTTCTAAAAAGCAACATTGTATTGCATAGCTCAACAATATGCAATAGTTGAAAATCAAGTTGCAAAACTTTTTAAAAAAAGTTATCACAGTTCAATCTCCATTTCTGTTTATAATTCCAAAAAATGGAAAATATATGGTCTCTCGTAACTGAAAAAATACTGAATCTATAGTCCTCTTACTTTTTCTTAATGTAACCATCTGACTAACCCAATTGATATCAGGCTGGCATTAAATGTTAAAACTCATCTAACATTTGTTGCAACATTTGCCTTATGCTGCCTGAATTTCTTTTTATGCAGACCTCAAATTAAGGTTATGAGATAAAAGCCTGTACCAACCAAGCTGTTAGTCACAGAGGGTTTCTCTTTGATCAAGGAGTTACCATTTATTTAGAGGATTGATAATTCATGTCAATCACTGCCTTAATGTTGAGTAACTACCTTCCGCCCCCTTTTTCCCCACTTGTAGGACATGAGCATTACTGGCAGGGCCAGTGTTTATTACCTGTGCCTATTTGCCCTTGAGAAGGCAGTGGCAAGCTACCTTCTTGAACTGCTGCAATCTCTGTACTGTAGGTAGACCCATAATGCCATTAGGGAGGGAATTCTAGGATTTGACCCCATGACCATGAAGAACAGCAATATATTTCCAAGTCAGGACGGTGAATGACTTGAAAGAGATGTTGCAGGTGGTGTTTTTCTGATATACTTGCTGCCGTTCTAGATGGGAGTATTTGTGGGTTTGGAAGGTGCTGTCTAAGTATTGTGGGTGAATTTCTGCATGCATCTTGTAGTTAGTGCTCAATGTTATGACTGAGCGTTGTGGTGAAGTGGCTGAATGTTTGTGGATGTGGTGTCAATCAAGCTTCTTGAGTGTGGTTGGTACTGCACTTATCCAGGCAAGTGGCAAGTCTTCCATCACACTCCTGATGTGTGTCATGTGGACAGGTTTTGGGTTATTAGGAAGTGACCTACTCACTGCAATATTTCGAGCCTCTGACCTGTCTTAGTAGCCACTATATTTACATGTCTAGTCCAGTTCAGTTTCAGATCATGCTGTTCATTTGAATAGAAAAATACAATGCAGAGCCAAGCATTGCAGTCTTATTCCTGTTGAACAATTTGTAATAGTATCCTGAGATAATTGGAATTGCATACAATTAACCTCCTTGGGATGATTGTTCAATACCTCAAACATCCATTGTATATGCCAAAATAAACTTGCAGTGTTGTATGTATTGAAGCGTTCTATGTTTGATGCATTCTACTGATGAGCTAATTGGTGAAACATTGGAGATATACATGCTAATTATTGCTGCGCAAAATATTTATCTTAGAAGTCCAGTTAGGAAAAGTATATTTTTATAGCATTCACATTGCATTGATAGCCCACATGGTGGCAAAC